ACTTAACATTGTGAAGATGGCAATACTCCTCCAACTGATCTACACATTCAGTGCATCCCTATCAGAATCCCACCTGGTTTCCTTGTAGAAATCGGCAAATTGATCCTAAAATTCATGTGGAAACTCAAGGAACCCGGAGGAGCCAAGACAATCTTAAAAGAGAGAAAGTTGGAGGACTCACACTTTCTGATATTAAAACTTATAAAGTAAGTAGTCAAGGCAGTATAATACTAGCATAAGGATGGACATCTAGATCGATGGAGTAGAATTGAGAGTCCAGAAATACACGCTCACATTTACAGTCAATTGACTTTTGACAGGGTGCTAAAACCATTCAATGGGGAAAAAAATAGTCTTTTCAGCAAATAGTATCAGGACAATTGGACATTCACATGCAGTGGAATAAACCTGGACTCCTACCTCATGCCATATACAAAATTTAGCTCAGAATGGATAAAACACTTAAATGTAAGAGCTAAAACTATAAAATTCTTAGGAGAATATTTAGGGATAAATCTATATGACCTTGGATTAGGCAATGGATTCTTAGATATGATGCCAGAAGCATGAGCAGCAGAAGAAAAAATAGATGTTGGAATTCATCAAGATTATAAACTTTTGTGCATTGAGGGACTTTATTAAGAAAGTGAAAAGACAATCCACAGGATGGTAGGAAATATTTGCAAATCATATACCTGATAAAGGACTTGTATATGGAATATATAAAAGAATACAACCCAATTATAAAAAGATAAATAATGAGCAAAGGATCTGAATAGTCATTCAAAGAATATATACAACTGGCCAATAAGCATATGCAAATGTTCTTGTCATGGTAGTCGTTTTTCACACCCACTAGAATGGCTATTATCAAAAAGACAGATAATAACAAGTGTTGGTAAGAATGTGGAGAAATCAGAACCCTCAAACATTGCTGGTGGGAATGTAAAATGGCGAAGCCACTTTGGAAAGTAGTCTGACAGTTGCTCAAAAAGTTAAACATAGAGTTACAATTTGACCCAACAATTCTACTTTATGTATAAACCTAAGAGAAATGAAAATATATGTCCACACAAAAAGTTGTACACAAATGTTCACAGCATATCTATAGAGGCAGAAAGTAGGTTAGTTTTTAGGTTCTGAGTTAGGTTCTGGGGCTGAGGAGGTGGGAGGTATGGCTAAAGAGTATGGAGATTCTTTTGAGAATAATGAAAATGTTTTAAAATTAATTGTTGGGATGGTTGCACAACTCTGTAAATAGACTAAAAACCACTGAATAGCACACTTTAAATGGTTGAATTGTATTGCCTATAAATTATCTCTGAATACAGCTGTTACCTAATAATAATAATAATAATAATAACAACAATAATAATAATAACTGTATTCTCAGTGCTGTTAACAATGCCTGGCAGAAAACATGTGTCTGATGTGTTAAGAGAATGTCTCTTATGTATTGACTAAGAATCCTCAAGCAATGCTCATTAAGTTTTCATTTTCATGCTGAATGTGGAGTATACTTTCTTTGCACTAATCCTCAAACTTTAACATGCATAAATAAACTAGGGGAGCATGTTAAAATGCAGATTCCTGGGGCCCGCCTGGAGGTGTAGTGGTTAAATTCACATGCTCTGCTTTGGTGGCCCAGGGTTTGCAGGTTCCGATCCGGGACACAGACCTCCACACAGCTCATCAAGCTGTGCTGTGGCAGTGTCTCACATATAAAGTGGAGGAAGATTGGCACAGATGTTAGCTCAGGGCCAATCTTCCTCACACACACACACACAAAATCAGATTCCTGGGCCCCAGCACTAGACATCCTCTGCATTTTAACAAGCCCTCTTCTAAAGCACTGTGCAATTACTACTTTTAAGAAATGGCAGCATGATCCAAAGAAAGAAGCCTTCCTCTCTGGCTAGGCTGTTGGGAAGTTAGAACTATTTAAGCCTTTTTTCTTCTTGGCAATGGGTTAGGGGACAGACAAGCAGAGTCTTTCTATGTGATCCATGTAGGTTGCAATACAAATTCCTTTTTTAAAAAAATCAGTCTTACTTTATACATACATAAATGATGATAGGTAGTTGAGTTGCCCCAAATTGGGAACCCATTTCTGTTTTTTGGCTTGTGGATGAATTAATGAATTCATTAAACACACACATACGCACACAACACACACCCAGTCTATCAAGAGAATGGTGGGGAATGCTCAAAATGAGATCTCAATAGGCAGGAAAATTAAAACTTCACTGGTTCTCAATAAATTTCTGGAAGTAGGAAAAGGCTTCACATAAAACCACATAGCTGAAGAAAAAATTTTTTAAATACAGCAACCTAAATCAAGTATTTAAATAAGACTGTATTAATATTCTATAAGCACAGTTATGTGGGAAATCTTATCTATATTTGATTTAGGTAATTATTTTTTATAATATCGGTTAATTATAGAATTTTAGAGTTAAAAGATACTTTGAAATGCTGATTTTGAAATGCATACTAATTCCACACGTGAAAAACTTTGTTACACATAATACATATAACAAATTATTTAAATAATATAGCAAAATATTTCCAAATATCTTTAGTTGATATAGGAACACATTTATTTCTAGCCGTTTTAATCCCCTTGCTACAATTTGTCACTGTCTTATAATATCTCATTCTTAAATGTGCTCTGGATTTACTGGATCTTTTTCATTCCCAGTGATTCAACTCTGATATTTAGTCCTTATTAACTCATAGCTGGTTTGGTGAACCAGCCTCTGCTGGCAGAGGGTGTGACAATGCAGAGGCAATGTTGCATCTGGAAAGAGGCTGGGGAGGCTGGGCAGAGAGAGCAAAGGTAGGGGTGGGTGTGAGAGGGTTGGAGACAAGTGAGAACTGACAGAAAGGCCAGCTCCTCAGGGACTTATGGATCATGGGAAGGACCTTGGCTTTTACTCTGAGAGAGAAGGAAGGTCATTGGAGGGCTTTGAGCAGAGGAGTGACAGGATCTGACTTCGGTTGTAAGAAGGCCCCTCTGTATTGAAAATAACCGGAGGAGAGTAAGAAGCAGAGAGCTCAGGGAAGAGGAGACAGTTGCCATCATCCAGGGAGAGCTGATGGCACTGGGCACCACCATGGTAGTAGTGGAGGTGATGAGATGCGGTCAGGTTCTGGATGTAGCGTGAAGAAAGTTGGCAGAATTTGCTAGTAGATTAGATGTGAGGTGTGAGAGAAAGAGAGAAGACAAGATGCTTCAGGGATTTAGGCCTGAGCCACTAGAGGATTTAAGTGGCCAGTTTACTGACCTGTATCTATATATTTATACGTATATACATACCTATATATATATATATATAATGTATGCAACATATTCATGATTTTTCTCAGAGTGCAATTGAAACAATCAGAAATTAATTGTGTGAGAGAGGCTAACTGGTTTACCCAAGGTTACCTTGCTAGCAAGAAACAAGCTTGGCTTTGAGTATCACTCAGTGTCACCACTGAGCCTGTCCTCTTTGCCCTAGAGCACATAGCTCCTGCACACATCTCAAGTTTTGGGTCAGCAAAAGTGCTATACGGTGTTTTGGATTTTAAGAATTCACAGATTTTACATCATCAAAGATATTTTATAGACCTAATCAGGAGCGCAGTGTTCTGGTGTTATCAGCTGTAATCTCGAATTCCAGGTCCCACATCCTGCAAATGTGCCGAAATGTAATGCTCTGACAGTGAGTAAAGAAATTTGGTTTTTAAGGTCTGTTTGCCATATGCAAAGAATGATTAATTTAAAGCTACAATTGACAGGATCAAAAATTATTTAGGAAGTGGAAGAACATAAAACTGAGACTTCCAAGTTGATTGTATCATCATTGTCTTAGTTTGTTTTCTTTTGGCCACCTGGAGGATATACATTTTCACCCTAGACTGGGATCTAATACTTATTCCGTAAGGAATATTTTTCTTTGGCTGAGAAATGCAAATTTGGTGCTAGATATGAGTTCTAAAATGTTACATTTCTATCAGATTTCCAAACTTTCTTGTATCAAAAGAAAAACTAGTTGAAACACTTTCCAAGTAAAATGGATTATACCTGCTGAAAGTATTACTGGTTCTCATTTAAGTTGCTGATTTTGTAAAAAGAGTCTGACCTTGAGGACAGCTGCCAGTTGGCACAGAACACAATAGAGATGAGAAGAGAGACGGGGCCAAAGCAAACACCTGAGTCTACCAGTTGTGTCCCGTGGACTCTTTCATGAATCCATAAGGCATTTGGAGTCTTGGATTTGAACATTCTTTCCAAAAGGCTCATCTTCAGCAAACTTGCTGCTAGTCTAGATTGACTGGCATTTTAAAAACCTGGCAGCGTCCTTGGGTCCTGCTTGTTAAGACTTGCAAAATCCTATGAACTCAGGCTGCAATCTTCAGCTGAATTTGGATATAGGAAATTAGCAATTACAAAGTGTTCTTTCTGCCAAAAGTCACATGCCGCCACCGTTACTTTGCTCTGTGATGAAACAGGTCATTTTAATCCTTTGTAGTAGGTGGAACAATGTGTACTTGACCAACCAAAAGGGAAAATACTTCTTAATTCAAGGGAGATATTTTCAGCTACCACATGTAGGCTTTTGTACATAATAGGAAAAGTAATCTTTTTCCCCCCAAGTAAAACCTTTTAAAGTAATCTTGAAAGGCAATTGGCAAAAACCCCTCCACTTTAATAAGAGACTTTGTAAATTTGCCAAACTTTAATACCACCAGACCACACTAAACTAGGTTTCCAACAGCCCAGTGAAAAGAAATGTGAAGCAATGAGACAGGAAATTATGTTTACTTGAACTTTAAGGTATTGCTTCAATTACTTTTTTCCATTGGCAAGGAATGTGTGGCTGGAGTCACACAAGGTTGTTTACTTCATGTTGTTGATGAGCATGGGTTATTGGTCTAATTAGTGAATCAAATAATTCTATAGCTGATGAGACCTTGGACGTTATCAAGTGCGGCGTTCTTATTTTCCAGATGAGGAAGCTAAGATCCAGAGGATGAACTTACTTGCCCTCAGTCATTCTTCCAGTTGGTGACAGTCAAGTCTGGAAGTTTTCCTATCTCACTGTCGTGAACAGAAGGAAAAGGCCAGCATTTTATGTTATTTGGATACTGGTATCTCCCCTTCTGCTTGTAAGTAAAATCAGAACATTTGGAGGAAGCTCTGGGGAAAGGGTAAGGTCAAAGGCAAAAAGACTTTATACAGTAAAAATACTATTTTGATTTTTTTCTTGTTTTTGTTTTTTTCCTTCCATCTGTTTTATGATGGTGAAAATTCTCCATGGTGCTACCTCTGTTCTCAGTCACTCAAGCCAGAAACCAAGAGCCATCACCCCGTCCACTAGATCACCAACTCTTAAACCATTCTGCTTCCCAAACAGCTCTCAGATCTTGCCTTCACTCTCCATCCTCACAAACACTGCCTTACCACCGTCCTTGTCATCTCTCACTACAGTACTGCAGTTGTCTTTTTGTTGGTCTTCTCTCTTCCAATGTCTTATTTCTCAGTGGCAAAAACTGCCGGTTGTCCTCCATTTCCATTTTTTTCTGGCACACTTCCCTGCTTGCCCTGCAGCTGGGTGTGACCATGTGACTAAGTTCTGGCCAATGGGAGGAGGGAGAAGAGTCATGTGGCAGTTTCTGGAGATCTTAAAAAGACGGTTAGTGGGCACATTCTGCTCTCTTTTACAGTGTCCCTTCTTTTTTATTTATTTTATTTTATTTTTTGTGAGGAAGGTTGGCACTGAGCTAACATCTCTTGCCAATCTTCCTCTTTCTGCTTGAGGGAGATTGTCCTTGATCTAACATCTGTGCCAATCTTCCTCTCTTTTGAATGTGGGATGCTGCCACAGCATGGCTTGATGAGCAGTGTGTAAGTCCATGCCGAGGATCCAAACCCACGAACCTCCAGCTGCAGAAGCAGAGTGCGTGAACTTAACCATTGTGCCACTGGGCTGGCCCCTACTGTATCCCTTCTTAACCTTGCTGTATGGAATGTGAATACTGTTATCTTGGACATTAGATTGGGGTCACGTATGAGAGCAACATTATAGGAAGAGACTGAGTCTTTGACCAGGAGCTTCTGATGCCATATCAGCCCTCAACTGGATCTCTGGACTACTTTTTTGAAGCAGTGTTATTTTGGGTTACTGTCAATCAAGCCAATCCTAATACTATACAGCTGACCACCTAAATTCCACAATATATTGAAGGTAACATTTCTGAAACACAGATTTGATCATGTCCCCATACTTAAATGGCTTCCTATTGCTTATCGAATAAAGTTCAAATTCCTTGACTAGCCCTCCAGGGCCCTTTGTGATCTGACCTTGAACTTTCTCTGGAGCCTCATCTCTTTTCACGCTTCCCCTTTGTGCTTAAAGCTCCAGCGATACTGACTCACACGTAGTTCACTGAACTCCAGGCTTTTGCCCATCCTGTTTTCCCTGGCTGAGAAATTTCTACTTATCCTTTTAAAGTCAGTTTGGATGCTTCCTCCTCCTGTAGCATCTTCCTCTAACCCCCGGAACTCTAACTGAGTTAATTCTTCTCTCTTCTATGTGACGTTCATCTCGTTCTTGCTTCTGTTGTTACTCTCATGCTACATGGTAATTATTTGTCTATATGTATGTATTCTTGCCTGGACCATGAACCCACTGAAGAAGAAATCATTTCTTTTTTTCTCTTTCTTTTTTTTCATCCTTTCTTCCTTTTTTATGATTGGGGGAGAGGATATTGCTTAGGCCCTCAATAATTGTTTGTTGAACTGAACTAATTTGAATTGAACTCTGAGGGTGTCTTAGGAAACAGAGTTGGAGAACAAGAAAACTAGGTAAAAACCAATAAAGTTCTTTTTTGAAAAATTAGTTTATCTATTTATAATTGGCAATATAATTGAGTCCTAATTATTAGTGTTTACTAAGCACTGTAAACTTGGGCTTGGGCAGCAAATTTGAATATTTATAACTTATCTGGTTATTTCATATTATATTTCCATGAACCCAGAAGACTAGAGTCCTTCTAAGATATATATTTAGGCTACTGGTATTGAAGAGAAAAGAATATCAAACAACTGGCCATGTCTCAGAGGTAGTAGATGTGAGGTGTGGGTGTATTAGAGTTAATTCATGATTATACCAAACATAAAATAAAATGTTCAGGAATAAGGTAGCAATAAAATGAAAATAAATCTGCTACCATAGGAACTAACTAGTAACATAGTGAAACCTCCTGACTCATCTGGAATTAACAGAGAGAGATTTGTAAATTGTGGTAAAATGAAAGATATAAATGGATTTAGATGAGTATTATTTTGTTTTACATTTATTTAAATTTCAACTCAGCCAATCCAGTGTAAATTTGAACTATAGGCAAAGCTGTAGGACTAAAGTAAGATGGACCCCAAATCCTGGACCCTTGGAGATGGGATATGAGATCAGGCTAAGTGTCACAAAGATAATGTTGATCTAAAGAAGCAAAACCTAAAAGAATAAAAAAGGTAAACTATATTGCTTAGGGATGCATACGTTGATGATAAACTATCAAAAAAAACAAGGAAATGATTCTCAGAAATATCAAGATAATGGTTCTCTCTGGAGCAAAAGATGGGGTTGAATTAGAGGGAGACACATGTTGGGTTTCTAGGGTTCTGGAAAGGTTTATTTCTTGACATAGGTTGCATTTACACATGTATTTCCTTGAAATTATTCATTAAATTGTACAGAGATGATTCATGTGTTTTTGTTTGTATAGTATATCTCACAATTAAAAAAGGAGGAACGCCTGCATATCAATAAGTAAAAGTGAAACATTCCAATAGGAAAATGGGCAAAAAATCAGAAGACAATGGTCATTAAACATAAAAACTATGTTCAACGTCATTACTAATCATGGACATACAAATTAAAAATGCAGTGAGATACCATTTAATACCCACCCAATGTGCTTAAAAAGTATGACAGTATCAAGTCTTGGTGATGCTGTAGAGGGACGGCATCTTCTATATGCTGCTGGAAACCAAAGCTTAAAACTACTGGGGCATTGTCTAGCAGAGCCGAAGACGTGTATACCCCAAACCTAGCGATTACTGGCCAAGATACATGTACAAGGATGTTCATAGCAAGATCATTTATAACAGCAAAGTTCTGGAGACAAACTAATTGTCCATTAATAGGAGAAAGAATAACATTTCCGTTCTACAATAGTCAGAAATAGATTAGCTAAAGTTACACACATTTACATGAAGGAATCTCATAAACATGTTAAGGAAAACAAGTCACTGGAAAAAAGTATGATGTCTTTTACATAAAATTAAAAACTCACAACATTATACACACACACACATGTGCATGTTAAGGATATGTACATAAGTGGTAAAATTTTGCAAGGAACAGATAAACACAAAACTCGTGGTAATGGTTGAAGGTGGCTCTTAGGGGCTGTGATTGGGAATGGACACACAGGTCACTTCAAAATGTTAATGTTCTGTTTCTCAAGCTGGCTGGTAGATATGTTTGTTCATTTTACTTATTTTTAAATTGCATAGACTTTTACATATACTTTTTTGAATATATTTCACTTTATAAAATTTTTGCATTAAATAAATAATTTGATTATTGTTTTGATGTTCCAGGTACCAGCCAAGTTTCCAGGAAGGGATTATGATGTTTACAATCTTGATGGCAGGAAGATTCTACGTGGAATAATTATTAAAAAAATACTTTCTAATCTACAAATTAGAGAGTGTAGAGGGCATAAAGGAATTATTGAGTGTGCAGCTGCCCCACACCTGCCCACTCTGTGGGTCCCTGCCCTGGCAGAAGGGGAATATAGTACAGCTCTGCCTGAAGCAGCCACCATTTGTCCTACCATGTTACTACAGAGAGCCGGTGCATTTGTGGGGATTAAAACCCCCGAGAAGATTGAATTCTCCTGCGAAACAAAACCAATGCCTTTCGAACACAAGATACAAGGTTACAAGAAAAGAAAATCAATATTTAATCATCAGTCCTCATGCTCTACTCTTGCTGAAAATCAAGTTAATTCTTTCTTAAATGATCTGTCAGCTTATTAATGCCTACACCATAACGTTAGAAAGCATGTTTGACGTAATAATGTCAGAAAGTTTGATTATTCCTAACCATGTTCTTTTTATATCTAGAAATTTAATTAATCAATAATACCAGAAAGAAGGGAGAGGGGGCCGTATTAAATTTTAATATCTTTTAGCCTCTTCAACAGTCTATCAGAAAAGTATGAAGTCAGACTCGTAACTGGGCAGCAGCACATGGGTTGCAACTTGTTAATCCTAAATTTTTCTTTCTCTAGGGCATGCATCCAACTGGAAAAGAAAATACCCACAACTTTCTTGCTGACTGCTTTTGGACCACATTCTAACTTTCTCCCGTTTAGGCTGAGAGTGAGGGGGAAGTCAAAGCTTAGAGGGGCAAGATGGCAGAAAGCATGAGATGTGTCTAGAGGGAAATCAGTGAGTTTTGTTCATTCCTGAGGGGCCTTCATGATCAGGGAGTTGCAGGACTTCCTCTTCTCGGCAGTGTCACATTTGCCTCAGACCCTCAAGGAAGAGCTTTGTCTCAGGCCTTTCCTAAGGGGCTTTTAGTGGCTGACAGTCAAAAGGTTCAGAAGATTGTTTCCTAAGAAGTACCAAAAGTAAACGACACTTACGACCTGATGGAACTGCCTCACTAACCTCCCATATATTTGGATTTTCCTGAAGGCCAAAGTGATGCCTTTCAACTTCTCGTTTGGCTTTTAGTCTTCCTAAATTTGAGTCGCTTGAGAGCTGAACACAGATGGGGAAGAAGAAAGGGGAAAAAAAGCAGCTAACAAATAAAGGATTCAGGCTCAATTTTCAATGCAACTTGCTCTGTTTTTTTTTTTCCTTGTTTTATCTAACCTAGGCTACAGCCTTGCCTTTCTTCTGAAATTTGGACAACACAAGTTTCTATAAATTCACTCTGAGAAACATCTGGACTCTTGGCAGCAATTTGCCAAACAGACATCAGCACCAATGGAAATGTTCTGTATTGCTATAAAGAGCAGAAAGAAATGGTAGAGATAAATGAGTGGTAAAAACTTCTGATGTATCACAATAAGATGTTCCCTTTCTTAAGTCTTGCCAGAGTTCACTGTTTACTTTTCTTGATGTTCTTAATTATACAAACTTTAACTTTGTGGAGCTCTGATTTGGTATCACTTAATTTCATAAAAATATAACCAGATGTGCAATTCTTTTAATGTTCAAAATTCTATCAGGAACATGTGTTGAATATCTCAGTAGGAACATTGCAGAAGTTCTTGAAAAATAAAGTTGCCAACTTTTCAAAATCAGATTTTAAAAACTTTCCAACAAAATGTTTAAACACATCAGTATATCTGACTCCTTGTGTTCGCAGTCAATATGGGGACAAAGAGGTCTTTTGTATATTCACTATTGAATAAGTTCTAGAACCAGATTCACAGACTTTTTTTTTTAAGTTGGAAGGCTCCTTAGAGATGACTTAGTCTAGTCTTTTAATTCTAAAGAAAATGAAATATATGTTGAATGAATAAAGAAAGGAATTCCATTATACTAGGCTCATAGAAGATATAACAATATAACAGTAATTCTTGCCTCAAGAAGTTGACATCCTATTAGGTAAAATGAGAAAGATACAGAAATAAAATGAGCAAGAATATTAAATGCCTTAAAATGAATAAATGAATTACTGAGGTAGAGTAGAAGAACGTTCGTGTATTCATGGTGGTGTCTGGGGTGGGAGGAGGGAAATTTTCCTAGGAAAGGTAACATATAACTTGGCCATTGAAAAATGGATAAGATTTTGACAGGAGAAACTGTAAGTGAAGGAAATTGCAAATAGGGAATAGCATGGATATGTATGAAAATTGAGAGGGAAAACTGGAAAAGTGGGTTGGTCGCTAGCCTAAGAAAGAGCTACAGAAACTAAGAACTGCATGACTGAAGAGAATTATATTCTTGATCAACCCTATAACATTCTCACCAATGCATCCAGTTTAAAAAACAACCTCTGGTAACAGAGAATCTACCACCTCTTGAGAGTTTCTGTCCCAACGTTGTTTAGTTCTGTTTTCTCTTTATATTGAGCTAAAGTAATTTTTCTTATAGTTTCCATTTATTTGTTCAAGTTCTACCTCTCATGGCCACCTGGAACAAAAGAAGTCCTTTTCCAAATGGGATTTATTCAAATATTGAAGTCAGCTATTTTTTTTATTGTTATTCTTATGGCCGAAATATCTCCATTTCTTTACCCACTCACTATGTGACCTGGTCGTGGATCTTCCCCATCCTGGTCACTGTGCTCTGATTGATCTCTGTGTTTCTTACATCTCCCTTTAGCTGAAGCACCTCTATTGGACACAATTCTGATGGCTTTAAGGTGCAGTGGAGCAGTCTACTACTCCTCTTTTATTCTGGACATCACAGTGTAACTGATGCAGTTTAAGGCCACCATCGTTTGGATTTAGTTTAGTGGGCGATGCAAGGCCGTCAAAGGTTTTTGAGCACAGGCTAAGAGCTGGCAGTGGCTACGGTTGGATTGAAGAAAAGAGAATGAAGGCAGGGGGGCGATTATTAGGAAACTAGGGTAATGGTCCAGGAAAAAGGCTATGTAAGGCTGAATTAAAGTGGTGATTGTGCAAATGAGATAGTGACTGATGTGAGGGGTATAGGGAACAGATGCCATGGGCTTGGCATCTGATTGGATGGGGGAGAGGGAAAAGCTACAGAGACTTCCAAGGCTTTTAGTTTGGATAGGGAAAATGGTGGTCTCATTAATCAGATATAAGGAGACAGTCTCAAGGCACAACTGACTTCAGGGGAAGATGTTGAGTTTGGTTTTGGACATAAGAAATTTGAGATGGCAGCAGATGTTAAGACTGGAGGAAAACTGGGAAGCCACCTTCCTTTAGCAGTCAAAACTGTGGGAGTGGGTAAGATCCTCAAAGTAATGTCTTTAAAGAGAGAATAGAACCTTGAGAAACACCTACTTTTCTGGGCTTGCAGTAGTAGAAGAAGCAGAGAAGGAGAGTGAAGAGAACCAGTATGATGCAGCATAGAGATGTCAAGGGAGGGATAAAATTTTATCATTAAATGTCAGGGAAGTCAAGGAGAATAAAAACGGAGGCAAAGCTATCACATTTGCTGATTAAGAATGCATATTACTAAGGGGAAATTTTAGTGAGGTATCAGGGACAGAGATTCTATAAGATGTTAGGATACAGGTAGGTCCTGAGGAAGAGGAGAACACAAAGGTAAATGAGTTAGAAAACATTGTCAATCAAGTTAAGGAGAAGATTAACAAGATCAAAGGAAGGTGTTTGATTGTTCTGGTGGTGGTGGGAGAGGATTGCTTTGTTTTGTTTAGGATGGGGAAACCTGAGCAAAGGCAGCGAAAGGATACAGTGAAGAGGGCGGAACTGAGAAGAAGGAAATAAGTGCATCTGGAACCCTTGACTATGTAGGTGTGTTAAGATAGTTCAGTATAAGCCCATCCATCATGTCACTCAAACACAATGGTTTGGCTGTAGCATTCAAGTATTCCATTTAAGAACATTTATAGTATATTACCATAAAAAAGAAAAATTTAATGAAAAAAAAAACCCAGAATATGATTGAGAGATAAAGGACTGCCTTTCCTGCCTCCCTCTCTATTAGTCTCTGCCTCTGTCTGTCTCTCTGTCAATCTCTGTCTCTATCTCTGTCTCTCTCTCTCTCTCACACACACGCCCAACCACACACACACACACACACACACACACACACAGAGCCATGGGCACTTCCAAAATATTTCTTTGACTCCATTTTTCCAGCAGGTGGTTTGATGAGCCAAGTTAACTACATATTTACCATGGAATTATTTCACCCAGGCAGGTAAATTAAGTAAAATGCCAGCATTTTCAGTGCTCAAGCCTGATTCTAGGTCCTCAGAGAGTAAGAGCTTTGCATTCAAAAAGTAGACTAGAAGGGGACTAAATTATAAATTTTAAAAATGTATAAACCATAAATTATAATTTTATGCCAATTTGATTTCTTATTTAAATGGTTCTTTATAAATTTGAATTTCCTTTGCTTACCATTTTGGCTGTTTTTTTCCTTTATTATGTGTGGGAGAATTAAAGAGTCAATGTCTATCAATCAAAGATTTTTTCCTTGAAACAGCAAAACTTCAGTTCACGGGTAGAGAGTGCTTATTAAGCTTGTTTTAGCAATTTAGGCTTTAACATAATTGTACCTATTCAAATGTTTTTATGTGTGTTCAATAAAGTAGAGCTTTTCCTTCCACTGCTAACCGTGAAAATAAGAAAAATACTGTGGCATTCGATAGAGACATAGCAAAATTAGATTTTTTGAGAGAAATGCAAATATTTATTGTTAAAATAAATGAATAAACTGCCTGAAAAAAGTATTTCATTCCCTATAATTAACCAGCTCTATCTGAGGTCTCTGAGGTCCCTGACACACACACGCGTGTGCACACACACACATACACACACACACACACACGCATTGTCAGCAGTACTGAACAACTACTAATAATTCCTGGAAGACACAGTGGGTTTCACACTTCTGGGCTTTGGACAGTTTTTGTCCCTTTGCCTATAATGCTTTCTAGTTGGTATCTGCCTGACAAATTCATCCTGCTATTCAAGACTTAGCTCAAGCAATTCCATGTCTAGGAAACCTTTGCCGAGTCACTCAGGCAAAATAAGCTCTAATATATCTTATACATTCCTTGACTGCCATGGATGCTTGTTGTATGCCCAGTACCTTGCACGGTGCCTACCACACACAGGAGCTCCAAAATGTTTGTTGGCCAAATGAAGGAAGCACTGATGAATCTATCTGGATGTAGAGAAATGGAAAAGGGAGCCAGAGGCCTGGAGTGACTTTTTATTTGAAAGAAAAAGGAGACCCCTATATGAACAATTGAAAGGATATCATGTGTAGTAGACTGAATAATGGCCACCAAAGATATCCAGGTACTAATCCTTGGAACCTGTGAATTCATTGGCAAAAGGGATTTTACAGATGTGATTAAATTAAGGATCTTGAGATGGGGCAATTATCTTAGATTATCTGGGTGGGCCCAAGGATGTAATCGCAAAGTCCTTGTAAGAAGGAGCTAGAGGGAGATTTGAATAAAGAGGAAGAAGGCAATGTAATGATGGCAGCAGTGGTAGAAAAGGCAATGTGATGAGGGGTCGTGAGCCAAGGAAAGAGGACAGCTTCTAGAAGCTGGGGAAAGCAAGGAAACAGATTCTCCCCCTGGAGCCCCTGGAGGGAATGCAGTCCTGAAGACACCTTAGTTTCCGCCCAGGAGACTTATTTTGTACTTCTGACATCCAGAACTGTAAAAGAACAAATGCACGTTGTTTTAAGCCACCAAGTTTGTGGTAATTTGTTACAGCAGGCCTAGGAAACCAACACACCATGAAAGCCTCATTCTCTGTCTAGACTTGAGAGCATCCTTCCCCAGCTCTGACATCGTGTCTAGAGGAGAAAGGAATCAGTATTAGCTTAGGAGTCAAAAGATCTGTTCAAGTCTTGATGCTACCAATTTCTAGCAAGACATTTTTGTCAGAATCATTGAGCTTGACTTTCACAAAGTTAAAATGATACCTGCGCAATCTATTTCATGGTGTTATGAGCATCACATAGTATAATATATATATAAGCATTATGTAAGCTGAAACAAAAATATAAACTGTTGTTATTGCTACTTATTCCTTTGGACTTAGGAATTGAAGGCTTCTGGTAAAATGGAAATAAGCCTCATTTGATCATTGACGTTGTAGTTCTGTGCTTTGAATAGTGCTTGGCACTAATACTTTGTAT